CCCCCCCCCCCCCCCCAACAAACAAACAAACCCACCCAACTAAAGCCAAACAAGGGCAGTCTCAAACTACCTGCTATATATAGGAAAGAAGAGATTTTTAACATTCCTTCAGCACTTCTTAGCTGCTTAGACAAGTTCTTGCTGCATCACTAATAACCACTTGAAACAAAGCTTTCAGCTGACTCATGTAAGGCCCAGGTCTTTTGATTGCATTTTTTACGTGCAACATACCTCACGTTCCAAGCAGTGGTGAAGTCGGGGTTCAGCAGTAGCAGGGTACATGTGATATCTATCAGCTCTAAAACAATAGAAAAAGAGACATTAAGATCAGTAATGATTTTCACACAGCACTGATCTCACTGCAGTCCCTTACTCCCTCTCATTCCTCAAAGTCTCTCTGCTTTGCCTGCTTTACCTCTGTAAAATGTTGCTCTTATTCCAGAAGAAATTATAGCTTAATTGATGGGGGAACAAGATCTGCCATATCCTCCCTTTTCATTATATAAAATAATGAACCAATAATGTGTATGCCTTCAGCAAGGAAAAATCATTATATAAAATCCTCAAGTATTCAGTGATTTTAACCTCACACACTATATATGATAAGCAGAGACTTCTTCAAAGAAAAAATTCAAAGACTCTTAAATACTATAGAGAAGTAAAAATATACCCTACTGTTTTAGAACAAGCCTGAGCTGCAGATGGCTGCCATATACCATACTGTAACAAAAATTACACACACTATAAAAAACCTATAGCTGAAATATGAAACACCCATCTATGAACGAGGACTGCAAAAGCACTCCCTATTGAACTGTACAGAAAACACTTCAAATAAATTGTGACACGCTTCAGACTGAAATTTTAATACTAATTCAATAAAAAACCCAACGTAAAACCCAAAATATTTGCTGCCATCCCTGCATTTAAGCACTGTACACTATGGATTTATGTATTCCACTTATTTTTAACTACATCATAAAAAATGAATGCAACTACCCAATCTTTTATTGTCAATTAAATTTGGCTACATTCTCTCCTAATCACCCTGCATTTGACATACTAATTAGATAGCACTTAGGTGATTCCCAGCATAAGAGGTTTTCCTTCATTACTTGAAGGAAAAAGGATGGTATCTCATGGAAACAGATCTTTGGTTATTGCACTTAATGACCGCAAAATGAACTGTTAAGAAATTCAACCGTAACGGGACATAAATTAATTCAAAATGCAAAGGGACACAGCCTCATGTATCTTTGAAACAGGAGTCAATACTTAGGTTTAAAAGTGAAATACCTTCCTATGTTACTGTGTGTCTGATTGATCAGTTATGTCCAACAAAAAAAATTCTGTATTTTCCATTATGTTCTTCCTTATGAGGAACATGCTAAGCCACCATATAATGCAAGGGGTGATGGGTGGGGGGGTGTGGAATTCTTTAGTGTACTGTTGACTTTGCACTAAGCTGTAATGTTTTCAAAAGTGTCTCAAGGAAGGAATTTAACTTTCAATTTTCACAAGTTTCAGTTAAACCCCTCTTTGCTGCCAAGGAATAAATATTTCTCATACATGCAAACTTCTTCCTTATTTGCTGCCTGAATGAACAAACACTATTCCTTGGTTTACCAATTCCTGAACCAGCAAAGTATTTCAACACACATTTAATTTTATGCAGCTGACTATCCAAATTCAAGTAACCAGGATTAATAAAAACACATAAACAAAATCAAACATAGATAAAATTAGACATCTGCTAAGTGTTTTGTGGCTACTGTTTCAATTTTACATTAAAAAATTAGTTTGGAACATTTACAAAAACACCATTTTTATAAGGAGGTACAGTTAAAATTGTTATTTTTTTCCCATGTACATTTTCCATTTTATCTACAATAATGATTTTGGCAATTATTAGGTACTACCACTGTACATGTTATATGCACATCAAGCAAAATTTATTATAGCCTATTTCAGTCTTTCAAATACTTCTCAGAAAAAAATTTTCAAAGTCTACTTAGAACAATACAGCTTCCTTAGTCATGATTTCCAGTTAACATGACCACTCTGGTAATCTCAAGGGTCTGTAACAGCACCCAGTCAAGTCCAGAATTAAACAGAATTTGTTTGCATTTTGTCCATTTTCCCATTACAGAGGTTCATTGCATCCTGAACATTATCAAAAGAAAGATGCAGATAAAAGTAAAATCTCCAAGTAATGCCCAGTTCTTTCATGTCAATGTTCTTTCATGTAAGACACAGATGAAGATACATGAACTGTGGATTCTGTGCCAGAAATGTGAAACGACAGAATTCTGTAATCTCTAAGCCACTTTTTAATAGAAAAACAGCACAACTGAGGAACCTCTGAGCCACTTTTTAATAGGAAGTCTTATGACAGACTAGGCACACAATGATAGTAATTGCCAATTATTCCCCCGTGTTAGTAACAAAACCCAACATATTTTATTTACAATTTAAAATTGCTTTCTACTAAATATGTTTCAGGCAAACTGTTGCATTATAGGTGCTCACACTGAACATGTCCTTTTGCACATTAAAGTCTCCTAAACAACAAAAGGACAAATAAAACAATATGGTTTTAGCTTACCTTTAAATATGGCTGTGTCCTTTTTTAGATATTCTGGGAGCAGTTTGTAACAATTTCAGAAAACCACCTTGATGTAACATAAATACTATGCACGCATAAACTTAACAAATATTGGAGAAAGGATAAAACCATACTGTAAGATTTAGATTCCTGAACTCCAATAATAGCAGGAGTAGCAGTCATGATTCTGGATTCCAAGTATCCAAAAGAAACTGTAACTATAACCTATCAATGAATGACTATAAAGCACCTTCTTCTTCCAGGATGGTGTCAGAAAAAAAATATCAGATACCATGTATGAAAGCAGATGCTTAAATCAGGCTGCAGTTCTCCTCTGTTCTATTTTAAAGGGCTTACAGTGACTCAAACAAAACAGAAGAGGTGAGTAGAGACTATGTCTGCAATCACTGATTATAACAAGCTTCAACAGAATATACAATTGAGTTCTGAAGCAGTAATAGACAAAACAATCTCTTCACTAGATGCAAAAGAACACAAATACCCTGCCACATTCCAAGTATGCACTTTTGCACATCACAAAAGCAATCTGGAGCCAAATCCTTGAAAATACTTAAGAGAAAACCATAACATCTCTTGGCAGAGTCTCTAAGCCCACCTGAGAAAGATTTCCACCTTCATTCTCTCCACCACTGCAGTTCAGTTTCTGCTCAAGCCTTTAATCAAATGTGAAACTCAATTACAGTAAAATACACTAAACTCCCTTACAAACAGTGTTCTAACATGAAGGACCTGATTGTGTCTAACAGTGGTTACAGAAAACCTCAACGGACATGAAAATGCTGTAGACCAGTTCTTCTCATACATCTGAAACTGACTTTTGTAAATGAAGAGAAAAAGCAGAAGGGAGTTTCATTTTCAAAAGAAAGCCAAACAAGTTGCAGGCTCTAGTCTAAAATCCACGCTACTGCAGTATTCACTGAAAGTTTTCTGAGCTGCATTTTGCAAGGAAGGATTCTGCAAGGTTTCACCTGTGAGAGAAGCAGAGGACCACAGACACCATCCCTGTGGCACTGGCAGGTGTGAAGGCATCACAACAAAGCACCTGCACTGGTGTTAAAGGAGCAGGGTGCTAACACACAGGTAAGGGCTACCAGCTGTCTTCAGACACACAAAAATTGACACAGATATCAATGTTTGTAGTTTGGCTTGAAACAAGAAATTTTTCTCTGTGTGGAAATGTCAACGGTTAGACTTTACAGTAACACTTGAGACCAAAAATGAAGTCTCCCTGCTTAAGATCTGCAGCTTAATAACAATACACATCACAAACTCCTACCTCAGACCTCCAAAAGCACTGCAATGAGAACCACTGGTGTTGCTAAGATTGCCTGCGCTAGTAGGTTCAACCCTTTAAATGCTAAAGTTTGTATTTAGCTATGTGTCAGTCAACATTAATCATATTCCCTGTATTAAAGCTCTGTATACTGAATTTTGTAGTTGTCTGCACTACAAATTTCAAATTTGGAATGATGTCACAACCACCAGTTTCTATCAAAACTGAGAAAGTCAGCAGCAGCAGGTTGGTGGCTGTTCTCAGAAAGATCCTAGTCTTAATAGGTCCAACCATAAACCACTAAGACCAAGAAAAAATGGAAGATACTTAAGTTAGCAATACACATCCCCTAGGAAGAGAGTCTTTTAAAGAGGTCTGTAATGAGAAAAAAAAATTCAAGAAAATAAATGATGTAAAAATAAAAGGCAGTGTGAAATTTATAAAGTCCACAAAATACTTTTCATAGATAATTATATAGCGACATGACATCAACTCTGTAGGAGCAGTGTGGGAAACACAACGACACAGACACACACAAAAAATCTGTTAGACAAAAATAAAACACAATCAATGGTCATACCCAGCAACACTGGGCAAAAATTCTTCAAGTTCTTTAAGCTACTCTTTTGAAGGGTCATTAATTCAAAGGATCAAGCCGGTGCACTGTTACTCCAGTGCCATCCAAGGTGTACAGCTAGCAGTGGAATACTCTTGTGTTGCCAGAAGAATGGGCATGACAGGACACTCCTTGTCATGATCTGCCCTGTCTGCCATTTCATGCTACCAGCTTTCCAAAATGCTTGCATTATACATGCATATGTTTGCAATAAGGAATCAAAGTGTGTTTAACAAATCAAAGCATGTTCAGCTAATCTAGACCCCACCATTAAGTAGACAAAAGCAGGCTCTCCACCTTAAGAACGCTCCCACTCCAAGATCCACTAAAGACCTCAATCTTCTTTCTCCAGATCACCTCCAAAGGCAGAAGTTCAAGTGCACATTTACAGACCTGACGAACACCACCTGACTGTGCTGTATGCTACACTTCAATGAGCATCAGGGCACAGCTGGCATCATCCACTCACAGTCAAACAGGCTTCAGCAGTAAAATACTAAAGAAGTGGATGGTAGGTATCAAAGGAGAAATGCTACTGACCAGATATCATCTCCTGATCTACACAGATCTACACTCAAAACTCTCAAAACTTACCTAGTAATAACACCATGTTAGTTACAACTAGGTGCTAGAGTCTGCACCAGATGTGTGCTATCATCTGGTTCATCATGTGTGAACTATTTAAAACATAATTCTTTAACTCACTATTTCATAAAGCAGTCAGGGAGACTGGCTCTGCTGTAGCAATCAACCCAACTGAATAAATGGTGGCTGTTTGGTATGCCTCAGGAGGGGAAGACAATCCCACACATTTTGAATCAAAATGGACACAGTCAGTGCTTTATGGACAGGTTAGTTACACGTAAACAGAAAAAATTAAAATACGGTAACAGTCCAAAACTGAAACCCAGCTGCATGTGAGTCATTAAAGATCTGAACTCTGAGTGGTCACAGGGTGCCCTTCAACAGAACAGATATCTCTCTTTCTGAGGGATGTGAACAATACCATAGCAGGTAAAAGATACTAGAAAGAAGTCTCTACAAGAGAAAACACCAACAGAAATAAGATACTGAGAAGCCCAGCATAATAATAATTTTTCTTTCTTCCAATGGTTATTTAGAAGATACTGCAACAATAAACAAACAACTTGTTTCATAAACTGGTTATTCTTTTTCATTCTTACTCTGAACAGGACACCTTATAAGAAATAACTCCTATGTCACACCTGTTCATAATTCATATTTCGAGTTTTTTTAAAGAACACATACAAAAGAGTTTTTCATGCAAGTTAAACCAAAAACCAAACCAAAACAAAGACATGAGAATGGAAATAAAACTTTACAATTATCAAGCTGTGGGGACTAATGAATTCTGGTACCTCTACATCTGAAACACATTGCACTCACTTCTTACAGTATACAGATATACCACCACATTTTTCTTTTGACTCAGGAAAACAGGAGAAAATTCCTTTTGCATCAACATCACTTCCTCAAATAACTCGCTGAAATGACTTGTCTGTCTCTAACCTTTCCAGTTAGGGCAAGAGAGAAAGAAATTTTATTTTCAAATGACCCTAAACTTGTTTTAGTAAGCACCATTTCTTCCATAACAGGTTCAACTGACATTAGGAAGGGAAAATGAACCAGACAAGGGCACCCTCAGTCAGTTTGGAGATTATACCACTGTGGGTGGGAGTGATCTGCTGGAGGGTAGGAAGGCTCTGCAGGGGTATATGGACAAGCTGGATTGATGAGTCTAGGCTACCTGTGTGAGGTTCTGATGGGTCCTGCCCCTGGGTCACAATGCCAAGCAACACCACAGGCTGGGGGAAAGATGCTTGGTGGTAAAGGACCCAGGGGTGTTAGCCACAACAAGCTGAAAATGAGCCAGAAATGTCCCCAGGTGGGCAAGAAGGCCAAGGGCATCCTGGCTTGGATCACAACAGTGTGGCCAGCAGGATCACATCAGTGACCATCTCCATGTACTCACTAAGACATCAAAGTGCTGGAGTAAGCCCAGAGAAGGGCAACTGGAGCACAAGTCTTACAAAGAAGCACTGGAAGTCTTTAGTCTGGAGAAAACGGGGCTTAGGGGAACCTTACTGCTCTCCAAAACTACATAAAAGGAGATTGTAGCCAGGTGAGTGCCAGTCTCTTTTCACACCTAACAAACTACAGGATGAGAGAAAATGGTCTCAGGCTGCAGCAGATGTTTAGGTAGGATATGAGGAAAAATTTCCTCACTGAAAGTGCTGACAAAATTGAAACAGGCTGTTTAGGAAGTACTAGAGTCACCATCCCCGGAGATATTTTGGAAGACATACAAACACAGCACTTAGGAACATGATATAGTGCTGGACTTGGCAGTGTCAGGTTTATGGCTGGACTCTGATCTTAAAGCTCTTTTCCTAACTCCATGATTTTATGATAAATAAAAAGTGCGCACTAAAAATCATGTAATATACTCTTCTCCAACTCAGAACTCACCATCCTTGTTTAGCCACTGTTTTCTCTGTCTGTAGAGGAGAAGTTTATTGTGGACATATGGCAAAAGAAACTTCACACACCAGCTCTCCACACCAAGCTTGTTTTCTACCAGGACAATCGGGCTCCGGTTATATCTGGCTTCAGGGCAGGGTATTAATCCAATTTCATCTCTTAAAAAACAGAAAGAAAGATAATTAAGCATATTTCCAGTAGGTGACAATTATTTTTCTCAATAGAGCACACTGGCAATGCTTACCAACCAAATACTCCATCATCTTTTTACCTCATCTTTACTGAAATCTGGTATCTGAAAAGTTTTATTTGATTTTCACAAAGATCCTAGATGATGAAGGCCCCCTTTTTTCTGTTTTTAGACCATCACCCAAACAGTTTAACTCAGCTGAATCAATACAAGCAACCCTGGTTTTGTAATAAATATGAGACAGAGCTCTAACAACTGCTTCAGCAAGATAAACAGAACATGCCAACTAGTACAGGCACCTGACTAACCAAAAGCTACCCAGCTGTGCCCTGTAGCAGCATGACCAGATGCTCTGAAACTAAAGATCACACAGAAGAATATGCTCACTTCCACATGTCTCATTTTTCATTATCCTATGCAAGGCAACATCATCAACAGACGGAAGAATTGAGACACAGAGGCCAGTCTGATTAGATGATAACTCCGTACAAGAAACTTAAGCCTTTAAAACAACAGTGACAAACATGAACATTTGTACCAGCAAACAAAGCAGAAGAGACTCAGCTGTTTAGTTTCAATGGGCCATACCATATTTAATTTTTTCATCAGGTTTTTCAAGCAAACTGAATAGCAGCTCCTTAAAAATAAACACAGCTCATCCAGGATTCACACTTGGACAGAAAGCAACATTATTTTGTACTTTCCATTATGCATCATTTCTCCACCAACTCCCACTGAATGGAAAAAGCTGTTGCTAAAGAGGGAAATCCTCAGAACTCAAGAAGGATAAAAAAGATTTCTTGTGATCTCAGAAAACAAACTCTCCATCTTAAAACTCTTTGTAATACAAGATTTACAGATAAACTTCAATTGTCAGCTCCTCAACCTCAATGAAATTATCTTAAATAAAATTTATTAGTGGGTACTCTGAGCATGTTGATTTAGTTCTGTGTCCTCACCGGACTATTACTGAGGCAATCAAAAGTGGCACAGTGTGCTTGTTTAAGAACATATTTGCTTATTCAGAAAACAGATTTGATCTTCCATACATCAAAACATGTATCACAAGCCACAAAAAACACAGGCAAGGTGAACTCAAGGTAAAACATTTGCAAATCATGTGGCTCTGTTTCCAAAAACACATTCAGGTCCCTTTAGCTTCCCTGGTCAGCCAAGAACAGAGAGAAGAAAAAAGCATTCTCTTTCCCCACTAAAAGCAAGAAATGGGTATCAAACCAAGATCCTTATCTGTGCTGCTCCATTTAACACAAGCTAAGCTCTTCAAGAAGCAAGATTAAACCCAAAATGACACTCCTGTCTGCTTCTTTCAATACAGTATCTTAATAGCCTGAAATTTTTATGTACTGCTGGGTCTTTCTTTTATGAACACTAAACCCGTCCTGGGCCAAACTTTGCCTGGCCTTGAATACAGGAACAGGAAAGTCTCCAGAAGCAACGAAGATGCAGTCAGGCACTGGTAGGCCAATTAACTCTGTGAATTACCATAAGAACCTACCAGCTGCAACTTACAAACAGTATACCAAAGGTAAACAGCAAGGAGAGGAAAAAACCCACAAAACAAACACCCACACCTTTATTTATTACCAAATGCAAAAATCTGACTTAGGTGAGCTAAGTTTCACAATGCTCTTTTGAACAGACCAAAATGACAGACAGGTATGGTTTGCACAAAGCTGGCAAGTCAGCTTGAAACACTTCAGAATGCACTCTGATAGTCAAAATCACCATAGGACTAAACCCACTGCACACTGAAATGTACTAAGATAAAGTGCAACACAAAAAATGCTTTATCTGGTAACTACTCAATTTTTGCGAAGATGCAAACCAGGATTTGTCATCTGGTAACAATCTTTTCTCCAACACTTTGGTATTTTATTATTTTATAAAATCATTTCTGATGATTCATGTGGTTCTGAAATCATGTTGCATTCAGTTCCTGAGAACCAACAGAATTCACAATGCCAAATACCAGGGATGTAGATTTATCTGAGGTTGGTGCCTATCTCACAAAACAATTTATTGAGGCCACCATCTATTTGTCCTTCTGAAGGTTCCTCAAATCTGCAGAAGGACAAAGCAACAGAGCAAGTCTACCAGGAGACACTAGTCAAGAATGCCTGAAGTGTCTTCTCCATCATGCACCCAAAGCAAGCCTCTGCAGCAGGACTTGCCTGCAGACACTGCTGAATTAGTGCCTGTGAAATGAAGTGACTGACCATGCAAAACATATGATGGAAACAGTGCCTGCTCATATGACAAGACTGCCTGAACTCACTGCACAATGGTCAATGCCTGTACTTAGGTCCAGTGACTGGTGCAAAATGCTAACAATACTGAAAAAGATACCAAGTGAGGGCTGCTTCTAATTGGTCTTTGTATCATTAGTCTAAAGAAAGGTTCAATTTCTCTCCCAAGATTTCCCAGTTTTCTGATACTGTCTCCTGAAATTTAGAAGTTATTTAGCACTTTTACATTTACTTTCCACAAAATTTTAGGTTTTAGGTGAGTTATCATGAAATCTTCTGCCATTACAGAGCTTCTTCATCCTGAGCTGAGACCAGAGAAGATGTGCAAAATGACATCTGGGAGACCCTGGAGCTGGTCCACAGGGCAAACCTTAGCCAGAACAGAACAGTATTGACAAGACATTGCTGGACCTACTTCAAGAGTCCCAATCTGTTGACTCATCCATTCAATAAACCAACAGGCAACCTGCTATAAACTTTTCAAAGCTGTGATAGGAAAAAACTTCCCTCTGTCACAAAACCATAATACCACAGTATAGCAAGGAGAGGAAGCACTTAGTGTGACACTACCATTATGAGTCTTCAGGTTCTCCATGTAGAGGGACCTTCTCTGATTTCCTTGGAAGACTGGGTAAAAATACTTCCCTTAATTTAAAAATTTAAAAGAAGCCTTACAAAATTGGAAACTAGTATGCTGACACAGTTATCCAACAGGAAATAAATGGAGCTATCAGAGAGAAAAGGCAAAAAGAATTTTGAGTTGTATATTTAGCTAGAAGATCATCTTAAAAAAATAGTCTTGCAGCAAATTTCAGTTAAAGTAAAAAAAAGAGAAACAACAATCCTACGTTACATTTAGTCTAAAATTTTATTTTTACACGCTCTTTAGTGCTGATTCTATTTTAAAGCTTGAAATTATGAACCAACCAAAACAAAACATCCATTCTGACAGACACTAAGGTGTACAAGCAGCCATTGACAAGGGTCAGTAAATGGTGGAAAAGAGGTGAGAAGGGGATAGAAGTATGGAAAGTGAATCGAAACACTATGCATGTAAGAGATTCCTTATTTTCAGTGAAGTTAGGCAGTTCCCACATAAAATAATTCAAACCTGGATCTGTAAGATGTTGAATTCAGGACACCAACAGGAATTCAAGAACTGCAGCTGACCAGTAGAAGACACGATGCAGATACACAAAAAGACCCAGCCAGCATGGCTACAGCCGGGTGCTCCCAAGGCACAGAGGCAGCTCAGCAAAGGACCCACAGCCTACACTGGCCTGCAGAGTCACATTCCAAGCAGTTTCAACCACTTCAGAAATCTAGCAGACAGAATTGTCAATTTTCCTGCTTTAAGGGATAAACTAGAAGCAGCTTGTACTTTTTCACTTGAAGCACATCACAGTGCATCAGTCTCAGCATGCTTTCATCGCTGAAATTGCATCTAAGAAAGAAAACTGCAATAGCAGCTAATTCTTCAGAAACACCATCTCAAAGTTTGCTGCCAATATGGAATTCTGGCAGAGGAGTAAGAGCTATGAAAAAACCAGAACATTCATTCATAAATACTGGCCATTTACAGCACATTATGCTTCACATCCTAAAAATGAAGCATCAAGGAAAAACGCAGCCTTTTTTTAAGCAGCATCCATATGCTGCATTTTAAAACCTGGCCGCCCACCCAAATTGCTTACTACATTTAGAGAAACATGAGGGTATTTACTCTAATCTTGTCTTGTCAAGCAAAGGGATAAATTAAGCGCCATAAAATTTTCCTATGCAACTGTTTAGCTTATCACTTTCTGGAACAGATTAATAGGCCGCCACCTCAGAGACTGCAGAGTTTCCAGCAGACACAAATACACCTCACCTAAATTAGGAAGTTATTAATTATGTGCTACCTTATTTGCCATAACCAACAAGGAGTTGCATATAGTTCCCTAGTTTGTGTCTTAAAGGCTGGAGAAATATAATCTGGGAAACAGAATTATGGGAGGCACTTAAAACAGGGTCTCAAGGCTGTTCAAAAACTCTGAAAAATAAAAGAGGCCATCTGCCCCGCAGATTGCTGGTTAAATGTTATTGTCACAAGATAGCAATTACTGTTGTTTGCATTTTCATAGCCATTCTGTCTTCTGCAAAACAACACACAACGAAAAGCACTACCACTTCCACCAACAGATAGGGATTTGAAGGTGGCATTCACCACACCGACCTGTTTGTCCAAAAGCGCAATTCGGGAGGTTTCTATCCTAAAGTTTGTTCCTACCAATGCCAGAGCTCTGCTCCAGGCAAACACAGAGCCCGGTGGCTCCTGCGGGGCTCGGCAGGGCTGGCCCACCCGCCGGGGAGGCTCAGCCCCATCCCGGCTGTGCGACGAGTTTAACGCTGCCAAACATCGAGTTCAGAGAGAGGTCACTCAGCAACTTTTCTTTGAAAACATATCCTTCGCTTACAGACTGCGGAGCCCCCGCTGGTTTCCACGACTCGGTACGTGTTACCGGCGGGGCGGTTGTGGCCGCGGGGCTGCGGCCGCAGCCGCACGGATCTCCAGCCTGGGCTCAGGTTCCCGGAGCGAGTCCAGAAGCCGCGGAGGCAGGAGAGCACCGAGGACAGAGACACAGCGCCCTGCCCCAGCGGGGTGCCACCGCAGCCGCCCGGAGCCGGCCCCCCCGCTCGGAGGAGACCCGGCTGGTCCCCGCGGCAGCTCACGGCGTGACCTTGGGCTCGGCCCCGGCCCCGGCCCCGGCGCGGCCCCGCG